AGCTACAGCTTAGGGCCTCGTAATCTTTAGGGGCCTAACAAATTCAATTTTCATTTAATATATTTTTAAACAAAATTTCCATAAATTTTCCAATGTTCTTATTATTATTTTAGGCATACTATTAACTTGTAGCCTATTTATTTAAATTGAAATAAATAATCATCTTGCGGCGCGCCAACTTCACCCCTTTTATTAACATATATATTTTATAGTTGTCTGAGATTAACTGGTGCAATTTAAAACCAGTGGGATCCCGAGCTTTATTTAGATTTGGGCTTCACCAAGTCTGAATCCGATTCTGTGTGGTTCCTGAAATGGGTGGTGTTGGAAGTGGGTTAGGCACATCAAAAGAAAAGTCGGAAGTTGGAAGTCGGAGTACATCTGCCTGAGAGGCAAGGAACCAGTAGTCTGCATACAAATGAGTCAGATCAGTAAAATGGATGCTCCGTAGGTGTGAACATGTGTGAGCGCTAGTGATGTGAACAATTGCGTGTTCGTATTATGTGAGCGCTAGAGGTGTGAACATGTGTGAGCGCTAGGGCTGTGAACATTAGCGTGTTTGTATTATGTGAGTTCTAGAGGTGCGAACATGTGCGTGTTTGTATTATGTGAGCGCTAGAGGTGTGAACATGTCTGAGCGCTAGTTGTGTAAACATGTGCATGTTTTTATATATGTGAGCGCCAGTGGTATGAACATGTGCCTACTTGTATGTATGTGAGAAACAGAGGTATAAACATGTGCGTGTTTTTATTATGTGAGCGCTAGAGGTGTGAACATAGGAGTGTTTATATGTATGAGAGCTCTAGAATTGTTCACATGTGCATGTTTGTATCTATATGAGCGCCAGAATGCTTAGAGGTGTGAACATATGCCTTTTTTAATGCATGGAAGATTACTATCGTTTATATAGGGTGATTTAGTTTCGTCCCGAAAGCATCCTTGCAAACGCATACAATTGCAAACCTCTAGTATGCTTTCAAAAGAGCGCTAGAGATGTAAACGTGTGTATGTTTTTATCTATGTGAGCGACAGGTATGAACAGGTGTGAGCGCTAGAGGTTCGAACATGTGTGTGTTTTTATGCATATAAGCGCTGGAGGTGTGTACATGTGTGTGTTTGTATGCACGTGCATGCTAGATGGGGAACATATGCCTGTTTTTATGCATGGGAAACGTTAGAGGTATGAACTTGTGTGTATGTGTATATGCTGGAATACTAGAAGTGTTAACATGGAAGTATTTGTTTGTACGGGAAGCTAGATATGTGAACTTCTGTGCGATTGCATGAATGGTAATACTAGATATGTGAATTTGCATGTGTTTGTATTCATGGACGCTCTAGTGACGCGACCTTGAATGCGTTGGTTTACATTTGAACACTAGAGGTGTGAACCTGTACTAGTCTGTATGCGTGAGAGCTCTAGAACATTAACGTGTATGAACTGGAATACTAGAGGTTTGCAATTGTATGCGTTTGCAGGGTAGCTTTCAGGACGAAACCAAATCATCCTATGTGAACGTTAGTGATTTCCTCCAAAGAAAGCCTCGGTGGATGTAAAAGAGAAGCACCATATTTGACATCATGAAGCAGTATTTTACGCAGAATAACCAAATTACAGAAATACAACATAGATACCTAAAAGTTATTCAAAAAGCTCCATCACCATGAAGGATAACCATATAAAGATGGCAATTATAACTTAAAGCTTATCCAAGCTGGCTGAACGAAATTTTGTTTCTTTTTCAAGCAAACTAAGTCAAGTCAGGTGGACTTCCTATGAATACTTGAATATGTTAAAATGAATATGGCATTACATTTGAAGTCCAGAAAGAAAGAAAAAAAAAAAAGAGTTGGGAGGGGGAGGGTGGGGTGGGGGGGGGGGGGGGGCAGATCTTTTCCCTTGTTCGTTCTAGTGAAGTCGTACATGCGTTGGGCTTATCAGAGTTCTTCAGGCTCATTTTTCCACTTTAGCCTTTCCGGTTAGTATCGTGGAACATTACGGGACATTTTACAGCCTCACCTGAATGATAGCTTCGTCTCCCCTGATTTACAGTAGTTGTCCCTATAAGACCCGACCAGGACAGCAGCGTGTAGACCTGTCGGTTTGCAGGGAGAGGCAGGGGAAGAATATGGCCATTCCACGCCATCCAGTGAGTCTTCCATAAGTGCAGAGTAGGTACATTGCGCTCTGGTACTTGGCCCACCCAAAGAATCGCCATGTCCTACTTAACCCCACATTTATAAATTGATTCTTCCATTCCATTCTTCACATACTGCACCGATTGGGGAATCACAGGAAATAGTCTACAGACCTGAGACTTCCATTATCTTCCTAAAATGAGCATTTCGCTTCCCCGGAGTGCTAGAATTCCCTCTTTGCCAATGACACTTTTCGCATGGATGCCCCTAAGCACTTTGTACATCATTTATGGCAAGCATGCATCAAACATGGCTTCCCCGTATGGTCATTTCACTCCGACAACTGCTGCCAGATAGCTGTTGTTTGGACTGTTTGTGTCACAAAATAGAATCTTTGAGCAAAAGACGTTTGAAGCATTAGCAGTCATTCAATAGGCCTCTCGGTCGACTTAAGTGTAAGCCACAGTTTGTCATTTAGTATATTGCTCAACCAGCTGACTACTCACGTCTTCAAAATCAGCTTTCGATGGACGTTATCACCCATGCTAATGAGTGCTAGAGGATTTGTGGACACTGCGTCTCTGAAGGCCACCAAATCCGAGATCCCCTGCCAGTTAGGTTTAGGGCGATATGGGCGGTTATCCGTGACGCAAGATGAGGATATGTGGCAGGAGTTTTTGCATAAGAATCCGCAAATCCAGCACAGGCTTTCTGGCGGCCGAAGTGAGGTAGAGTATCTCTTTATACAAAGCACAACAGCCTTAACTTTCTCTCAATGCCTGCGACAGAAATCATCAAGTCACAGCCAGATCTAGTAGTAATAAAGTTCCTGTAAATATAAAGAGAAATAAAATTAAATCCCCAGTTAAAACAAAAAGCCAAGGAAATAAATATTATTATGGGAATAAAGGTTGAGAACAAATTAACTAGCTGCATTTCCTTTACATGGCTTCAAACACCACAGCATTACTTATGTCGGTACCAAACAGCTCACCATATGTTCCATGGTAATTCCAAAAGACAGTAGTTACTGTTACCCTTTGTATTTGGATAACTCCATGAAGATGCTTCAGAAGATAACAACAGACGGTATGCTCTCTGACTGGGTATAAAGCTTTCAAAAATCGCACTTAACCTCCCTCACCTGGATCTACACATTCCTGGACATGGTGGCGTAAAGGATAATGAACGAACGAACAGACCAACTGGCAAACAATGCACCAACGCAAGTGGAAAGAAGCATGGACAGAGCAGATTTCACCACCGCTGTATAGACTGGGCTAGTGGATAAGGACCAGTCTCCGACACCATTGCGTGAAGCACGTCTATGTCGCCTTCGAAACAGAGAAAGGAAACATAACCAACCTCTCATGGGAACACTTTGTAGAAATACCTTGAAGTGTTTGCAGTATCGGAGAACTGCGCACACATGGGAATGCCCAATGTGCAGTGACGTCAATTTTGGTAACGTAACATAACATAGGAATTATTAGTTTAACTACTTCTTTGTTGTGGGCTCTCTGTTGAGCCAAAAGTATTTATTGCTTTTAAGTTCAACTCTTTGAGATATAACGAGTTAAAGTAACAACTGCTTGAGACTGAAAGTGTTAATGGTTTTGTTTGATTTTATTAGGTAATAGTTAAGGCTATTAGTTTACTGATGGAAAGACATGCATGTGAGTTATGTAATAGTCCTACAAGATCATCAAACAGTAGCATAATAGTTTAGCTGAGCTCAAAATACCGTAACTGGAAACAGAAAAGAAGGAGACCCATCACTAGCACTTGAATGGGCATAATCATTATTTGCACATAAGCGTAGCCTGTAATGTTTTACCATCTCATGGGATGTGCAGAATGACCAATCAGGTCTTGTCTTGCCCCATCCATATGACTAAACCGTCCGGGTGCTAAGACCTATCTCTGTGCTTCCTCTTTCTTTGTTCCCATCAATATTCTCATAACATGGCAATACTGTATTATAAATAAATAAATAAATCAGAAACACTGTAATATAGAACTAAGAATAAACTCACAGGGAGCAAGTACAGCGGGGATCTACAGTCATCAGTAGAAATTATCCTCTTTCGACACACGTTTCGGCCCACGATTCCTAAACGTATTCGGAGGTGGGCCCACCTGAGTTCATGAAGCTCAGGGCTGCTTCCCCTCTGCACAGAATTACCGGATGGTGTTATTATTTCGGCCAGAGACAAGACGACTTAGTGGTTTCGAAGGAGGTACTGTGAGATAAGAAGCCGCCGCGACAGCGTAATTAAAACAGTCCGCATGCCTGGACGACCGAGCGACAAGCTTACTTTGGTTTACCGGACACATGTTGGACTTTTATTAGCAGTTGGCAGAGGAACACTGGAACACAATTATTTCCCAATTTTATCATCGGTCGACAAAGATGAATGCGGGCATCTAAAGGATGTCAAAATAATTATAACTAAGCGTAGCTTGCACTGCAGATATCCACCCAAAGATACTATCCCATTTCAATTAGTAACTCCTTGTGCCTAAAAATATATATTCTTCTTCTTCTTCTTCTTCTTCTTCTTCTTCTTTACGTTCACCAGCTGTTGTTCGTCGACTACTGCACTTTAATTTAGTCTTGCTCCAAAACCGAGTGTTGCGTGTACATCCGTTTGACAGAATTGACCTATTTATACGCAGATTGTTGGTTCCTGGCTTCCCAGACAGATGCATTCTGACTTCAATAGAGGTAGTGGATCTATTCTTGTTTATCCCACACTGGGGCCCCAGACCCCCCACACGGAGATAAAGATAACGGTCAAGTAAAAAAAAAAAACATAAACAAATCCAATCCACTTTTTGCAACCGCATGTGATCAAACATGGCGCGGTTTTGTCGGCTGCTTGGCTACCTGCTTGTATTTATTATTGAGCTCCATCGGTCGCTGTGTGATCAGCCGTCCACATTACTGTGTGCAATAGACGGATACGACTATCTCAATTTAACAACTGTGTAAGATGCACGCGGTTGTCGTGTTCCCCCCCCCCCACCATGCATCGTTTTAATTGCAGTTTGATTTAATAAATCATTTATGACAGCTGTTTTTTTAGGTACTTTAGTCAAACTTTTAAAATGCCCTCAACACCAATAAAAGTAAAGCCAGCACAGTTAGATAGCTGTAAACAATCTCTTTCCAATGGTACCTCATTTAGCCTTGTATGTCATTTCTGAGCTGAGATATGTAGGTTTTAGTGGAGATGAGATGTAAAAAAGCAGCTGCTAAAACTTGTGTCTGAGAAACAAGTTTTCTCTGCGCAACTTTCGTTTTGGCTTTGTTTTCATTGAACAAGATGGCAGACAATTTTTCTCAGACACAGCCACATAATAGCGATTGCATGAAAAATGTCACTAAAACGAAACAGCCACAGATAAGAAAGAAATTTTATGCACAAATGTAAAATTGGACGGAGAATTCAATTATAACTAGCATTACCATGTCTGGTAATGTTTAAGGCCTTAAAGCCAACCGTCAATACTTAGCGCTATTTTCAATCAAACCGATGTAACAGAAAAACAGAGGACTTCCGGCTGTCATAGACATGCGCTGTTAATCGGGTTCGTTCCCGCCGTTTTCGGCTATTCATAGCTGGTGAAAATCACACCAGTCGCAAAATTTCATGAGAGATTAGGACCCATCCCGAAACCCCAGCCGACATTTCCCAAACAAGTTTCAAACGGTTTCCATGGTAACGGAAATTGCCAAAAAGGCCGCAAATTGTCGAAACTGTAGTCGCTAGTTTTTTGTTCTCCTTGCAATAATTTTAACGGTCGCTACTTGGACGGCGACAGCCGCTTAGTCGGAGTTCATTCCCTTGGCTGCAGTGCAATTACGGAGTGGACAAGGCACAAATCACAAAACACAGTGAGTTCAACATGGCGTCTAGACCATGCGCTCCGACTCACATTAGCCTAACCCTAACCCAAACCCTACCCCTAACCCTAACCCTAATTATGTCATTTCCCTCTTTTCCACTCCATAATTGCACTGCAGCCAGGGGACTGAACTCCGACTAAGCGGCCGCCGCCGTCCAACTAGCGACCGTTATTGCAAGGATAGCCGAATAGAGGCATAACCACTGCGTTGTGCTAACGTAGTGCGCAAAGAACGTAAATACTGAGGGCCATTCAACTAAATTTACCCAGGGACCAAAATTGTAAAAATGGGATCGTCATGAGCCGGAGCGCCCCTGCATAGATCATTAACTTTGAGTCCCAGGGGGTTTACCGTTTAGCATCAGAGGCCCAGGGGGTGAAGGCAACTTTTTAATTTCACAAGTGTAAAACATTAAAACATACAATACTAATTCAACTGCTGCTCAACAAACACAAATTATACATCAGAGTGTCCTGGGATTGTTAGGGAATAATAATAGAATCAAGGAATACTGCACTGCTACAAGAAAGTTTTTTTTTTTTTAAATATCAAGAAACCATGAGTTCTTAACTTTTTGGCTCAGTACTATGGTTATCGCAACCCTTCGGCCTTGATTCCATGATAAATACCGTAAATCTGGGAGACATGTGGCTTTTTTGCCTACCCCCGGGAGTGAACCCGGACCACAAGGAGTTCATCACCCAGTCGTCGCAAAGTCAGGTTTAGCCAACTACTCTAGTGAGCTGGGCTGCTACAACAAATAACGATGTTAATAAGTATATATCAGTAAATAAACATACAGTTTGTTTTCAGAAATAAGTAAACTGAAATAATATTTTTTCAGCTTACAACCATGGCACTCCAGGAAAACTGGTTAAAATATATCCAAAATAAATCACAAATTTGCTTGAACCACTTAGTAATGTATAAGTAAAATATAAACTTAAGATATTATTCTAGAGAATCATTTGAAGCACCATAACAGAGCACACTTATTTGGTAAAGAAAACTGACTTTCCAAAACAGTATCTTCACACAAGATAAAGTTTATATAAAACTCAGTTTGCCTGTAATTTTGTGGCTACGTTCCTAAATAATAAGAGGAATAGCAAAAGAACTGACACTTAAGAAAATTGCCTTTTCAGTAATATGTATTCTGTATTTGCTCGCTGACTTTGCTGTCATTGTACCCTTCATGTGAGGTGCACATTAGACCTATCCATCATCAAAGTTAACTCTGGATATAACTGAAACAAATCTGCTTTGCAACGTTATTTACCTACTTTCGGATAATAAACATATGCTTTATCTAAATGTGAGGCTTCTAAAGCCCTAAATCATGTTGTCATGCATGTAGAATACTGCTCAGTGGCCATGTTGTTTTCAACAGTAACTCGGTAAACCTCACAAATATACTATATTTTCACCCTTTTAACCACATTTACAAATGAGCACACCTGATATCAAACACAAAAAATTTGGAAGTTTAAACTGACCGGTCTGTGTTTTATTACTGGTAGTGGTAAATAAAAAACCTTCACTTGTCACGCGCCGACTGGGCAGCTGGGTTGTAACCAATTAGTGCGTAATGCGTTTCCTGGGACTCAAAGAGTTGATAATAATAGTATTATTAATTCAATACAAATAGCAAGGACTTAATCATATGCAGATTGTTGGCTCCTCGCCTCTCACCAGATGCACTGTAACTTTAGATACACCTTAGTTAGTCGACTTTTATGACATGCTTGTTAGTTAGGAGGCAGTGGGTCTGTCCCCCCTCCCCCTTTTCTAAAATGGGACCCCTGAACCCACATAGGGGGAAGAAGAAAATGAAAAGATTTTCTTCAAGGAAAATAGCTTGACACAGTTTAGTAAAAGCAGTAAAGAGTGCATCACAAACTCACCTCTTTAAAAAAAAAAAAGAGTAAAATCTCTACAGCTGGCATCTAGAGTGTTGGAAATATGTATATGACCTCGCAAAGACAGCCGAATTTATGGAAGCTATATCATATGTTTAATGATTATCAATTCTGTGATTATGTAAAGCAAGATGGAAGGAACAGACCACACACACACACAATTAAGAAATATTTACAAGTACTGGCCTCTCTTGACAAACTGTTATTAGTACCAGCAGCATTAGTAGTAGTAGCAGCAGCAGCAGCACTAGTAGTAGTAACAGCAGCAGCACTAGCAGTAGTAGTAGTAGCAGCAGCAGCAGCACTAGTAGTAGTAACAGCAGCAGCACTAGTAGTACTAGTAGCAGCAGTAGTAGTAAACTGACTACTACTACAACTTACAGTTTTGAGGAAAGGCCAGGTAATATGAGGCTTTTATTACCCAGATACTGGCCAATCATCATACAGTGTTAGCAATAGCCATCACAAATATTGATATGACATCAATAAGTTTAGAAATATTACAAATATAGGCCTTAGCATCCACTTTAGGAGGCTATTTCACCAACAAATATTGTAGCATCATTCCTCGACTTCAACACAAATCAACAAATCAGTGGGCTTGGACGTCTAGCTCTTTCAGTCCCACAAACTTTTAAGCATATTTACCACCAATACTGCTCCCGCTCCCTCCTTTCCATCCTATAGGAGTAAATGAACATACTTTGATAAGACTCATGTTTACATTAACCCATGTTTATCATTTCTTTTCTCATTTATTTCTTTTTTAATGCAGAAACTGGTTTATAGATCTAGACCAGCAATATTGCCTTTTCAAGAACCAGACGCAGTGCACACTTGAACTGGCAATATGTCACACTATTGGTAACCCTGGACTTTGTGAGAGCAGCTCGGTTTGTTCTGTATCAGGAAAAGAGTACTTGAGTCTTGGAGCATACAGAGAGAATCCTCTAGGTCCATTAGGTGAGTATTTACTAATGCTGTAAATTTTTTTGCTATTTATTCTAGTATCCATCTGTGAGCTTTGAAGGTGTAAAGGTGCAGAGATTGACTTCATTACATGATGTTTTAGTCCAGATCGATCTCACCTATTTCTACAGAGCAGTTGTTCACCTGTCAGTTAAAACAAATATCCTGACTTGATAAGGATTCTTCTTCTTTCACCAGCTGTAAACTCCACTGAAAAGTCCTGGCTGTTCCTCTGCTTTTGGACTTTGGTCTTGTTCCAGAACTGAGTTTTGCCTGCACATCCATTATAAAGATCTGGCTTGTCTGAAACTTATGGTTCCTCACATCTCATGCAGATGTACTCCGACTTTGAAGGAAACACCCCACATTAGTTGCCTCTTACGACATGCTTGTTAGGGGGCAGTAGGTCTACTCTTTCTCCCCACCTCCTCCAAATATGACCCCAAAACCGTCAAGGGGAAATAGAGATTCAAAATTGTGACACCCATGGGCTGACAGAGAATTATACTAACTCTGCTACCACAGGGGGAAAAAAACCACACATTTTTAATCAGGTTTGCACCTGGCACCATAAATGACGGAACTCCTTGGTGGCCACTGGTGAAAGGAGACAGACAGAGCATTATGGTCCTGAGTGTCCTGAGTGCAGTGATGCCAATTCCTGATTCATTCATTTTGTGTAGGGTTCTGATCACACTGGGCCGTGAGCCAGCAAGCTCTGCAGAATCAAAAGTTCAACAATTAATTTATGACAGTTCTCACCCAGGTGGTGTGATAATCTATACAGATGGCTCTGTGTTCAGAGGTAGACTAAGCTCATCAGGGTTCTTAGCAAAAGTGGATGGATGTCACTTATTGCAGCAAAGCCTAGCATATAACACCACAACATATGTTTTGAGGATTGAGATTGAGGCAGCAACTGCAACCTTTCACTGGCTTGAGAATCAGCTGCAGAAACATGTTGTAATTGTAATGGACTCACAGAGCATGTTGAGAAAGTTGGAGACCAGTATACTTTGTGAAGAGTGGCAAGCATCGCTTCAGAGGTCTCAGGTAGTTAGTATCATTTGGTTATTTTCCACAGAAAATGCTGGTGTAATCAGAAATTAACAGGCAAATAGACTGGCTGGTTCTGCACAACTTGGTGATGAATTGATGCATGACAAGCTAGATGTTGTAAGAGCCCTTTGAGAGTGAGTGTACAGTGTGAGGAGGCCCAGATGGATCATCATGGTCTGAAGAGAATGGTACTACAAGGAGTGACCAGGGGAATAGGGCAACGATCAGCACTCAAGGGAAAGGTAAGACGGATATACAGTCAGACTGCTATTAGTACCATTGGAATTGGAGCTCTGCATTTGCTGCTGGAGATGGGGATGGAGCAATTATGGGAATGACTTGATGACAATTCTTCATTAAACATTAGGCATATTCTGTTGTGTCTGTTCAAAAACAACCCTGCTTCATAGTAATACTGCCACATTTCTCTGTATATTGTAGCACCATCAAGCACAGTTGAGGGCTTCCAGGCAGTCTTTTCTGATGGAAGTCAGTACATCACAGACAGTGGGTTTCCCTGCTTATTACAGACACATTTGGCCTTTATTTGCAGCAAGTCCACCATTTGGGAATCTCCGGGAAGCTCAGAGTTGAGGAAGAAAGCACCAGTTCCAAAATTAGTGTCCTACAACAATAAAACATGTCAGGTATGTGCTCCCTGCAGATTATGTTTTAAACCCTGTGTAGGTTCTTGGGCTGCATTTATACAGGAGAACAGAATATACCCACTGCACCTTGACAAGCAAGCTGTGAAAGGCAGCTAACTGAGGATTTGTTGAAGTCGCATGTGTTGGGCCAAAAGGTGCGGATGTCACAGCCTAGCTGTAAACTGAAATATAATTTGAGCATCCTTTTCTGCATAGGACTGCAGGTTATCCCTGGCTAATGCAGCCATTACAGGTGCTCTAATTCATCAGTCATCAGTTCTCGTTATGCCTAGTGGCACATGAGGCTTCAGAGAGGACTTTCCATGCTTTCCTGTCCTGTGCAATCTTCAGTGCAGTTTTCCATGTCAAAGATGCCGCACTCAGGTCACTCTCCATCGTTCGTCTCAATGTTGTTTTTGGGCGCCCCTGTTTTCTCTTTCCCTCTGGTGTCCATCTGAGAGCTGTTTTGGCAGGTATATCAGAATTCATTCTCATAACGTGGCCAAGCCATTTCCATCTTCTCTCGGTAATCATACTGTCTAAAGTTTCTTGGTTTGTGACTTGAAGTAGTTTAGTGTTTGAGATTGTATCTGGCCAGAAAATTTTGATAATTCTACGTAGACATGTGTGGTGGAAGGTGGACAGCTTGTGTGCATCTTTGTTGGTCATTCTCCAGCATTCTGTTCCATAAAGAAGAACTGGCAAAATGATGCTCTTGTAGAGTCGGAGTTTCGTTCCTCTGCAGTAATTGTTGGATTTCCAGATTTGCCTCATCCTTCCAAAAGCAGCACAAGCTTTGTTCAGATGTGTCTGTATGTCCTCTTCAGTCCCTCCCAGTAGGGACACCACACTACCAAGATATGTGAAATGTTCTACATTTTCAAGAATTTGGTTATTTATGGTCACTGGTTGTTGGTTTGGACTGCTTGTCATGATCTTAGTTTTCTTTGTATTTATTCTCAGTCCCACCATTTCTGCTGTGCTGTGTAGACTGTTACTTTTTTCTTGTATATGTTCATGTTTATGTGATAGAAGTGCTAGATCATCTGCAAAATCAAGGTCCTCAAGCATGGTGAATGGAGTCCATCGTATGCCTCTCAATGTTCAGTCTAGTGTGTTCTTTAGTATCCAATCAATCAAGGTGAAAGAGGAGAGATGACATAACACATCCCTGTCTTACACCTGTTTACAATACAGCTTTCCCAGTAAAGACATGTGCTCTAATTGTAACCTCTTTTTAGGTTGAATGGGGTATCTGGGATTGCTGTCCAGATTGAGATTTGTATATGTTAGGATGGTATTGTAAACCATTAGATAGCAGCCTAGAGGTGATTACCCAAATACTACATATCTACTGCATTTTTAAGGGGGAATGCAGAAGAAACAAGAGTGGCAAGATAAAGTGAACGTAAAATGTGAATGACTTGGTTTCTTCTTCTTCTTTTTTTTACTTTCTCTTTACCACTACGGGTGTCGAGGGAGATATAAGGTCCTACTTCGTGCTCTTCTGGCAGCTTCGACCATAAACACATCGTGGTGCTGTAGAGTTTCTCTGATGCTATCTTTCCATCTTGAATGACTTGGCTGACATTAATAAAATAAGTGAAGAGCCCCTTTCAACATTTGAGGCGTACTGCATATGTGATGCTATCATATTTTATATAAAACAATCAGCATTTGTTGTGTGATGTGGTCAGTACCATATTGTCTGCCTTTACTTGTCCGAACATTTCTTGGTACTCATAGTAGGTTCATTTGACCTTGGAAGTCAGTGTTTTGTTGTTGTTGTAACTGCAGTTTCCTTGAGGACTAAAGCACATAGCTACTTGACAGGGAGGCAGTGTGCTAGCCTGTGCTTTTCAACGGCTCCCTCATTAAATATATAGAAGTCTTTCTTCTTGTGCTTTTGCCCTTAAAGGGCGATTAATACATTGTGTTGTTGTTTAAAGCTAGGTTACAACACTGCACCTTTCAGGCCAACACATCCGATTTCGGCAATCCCTAATTAGTCAGTTTTATGACGTATTTATTAAGGATGGCAGTGAATCTTCCCTCCTCCACCCCCAACGGCTGAAGAATAATGAGGTCAAGAAAAACCATTTGAAAGATGGAAAATGACCATCAAATTTAATCAGTTCTGTATTCCAGAAGGTTCTCAAATATGCCAGATTGTATTCATATCTTGCTTTATTAAGTGTCATTATGTATGTCAAATGAAGAATTGAGATTTTTAAAGAAAAATATTCCTTTTGTGAGTTTAGACCCACAGCCCCCTGACAAGCGTGTCGTAAAACTCGACTGATTAGGGGTGTTTATTTCCAGTCAGAGTGCGTCTTCCTGAAATCCAGGAGCCAGTAATCTGTATGCACATATAAGCCAAATCTGAAACCAGTTGTGCATGCAAAACTGAATTTCTAGAACAAGACAAATGTCGAGAAGTGGATGAACAACCAGAACTTTCCACTGGAGTTTACAGCTGATGAATGCTAAGGAGACTGAGGAGGAAACTGGAAAAAAGTATTATTCCTAATGTGATTTAGCAGCATTGGCAAGTTTAGGGACAGCAAGTTTGAAAATTAATTGCCACTGATTGCTGTTAGAAATTAAAGTTGTCACTAAGCTTGGTAGAAAATAATATGCCACTGAATCTTGGCAAAAAAATAAAATGCCACTAAGGCTTGGTGGAAAATACAGCGTCATCAAAACTTGGTAGAGAATTGTCTCTAGAGCTATTATGGCAGTGGCATTATTTTGTCTGAAAGAGAAAAATGATGGGGAAGGGATCTATGAGAATCTCACTAATGATATTGTATTTTTTGCTGCAACCATACATTAAATATTTTCACAGTTGAGCCTAACATTTGATTATGCTGGAGCCTGTAAGAGAGAGATGTCAGCGATAGCAAATTTGAGTCCTGGAACCATCCTTGTTGTAATGTGAGTTACAGTAAAACCTTCAGTGGATGCATGTAAGCCTTAGTCTTAGTGGAGGTTTCATTTTCACTGCAGTGAGGTTTCCCCATACTTGCAATGAGGTTTCCCCATACTTGCTCCATTCCTCTGCCAGTGCATTAAAAAAAAAATGTCACTCACTGTCACATTCGAAAAACTGGTAATCAAACAGCTAGTCTCGGAAAAGCTCAGAAATATGCGCATGCAGTAAATGCTAGAGGTGCCAAAGCCACCAATCGCCACCAGAAATGCAGTTTTTCATTGATGGAAGTAGTCAGGCACAATAAGTTGCTTACTTTCACACCTAGAATTATTACATAAGATATTTCACTAGCTCACACGTAAACTGACTACTGGCCATCATACTGAACACCACAATAGAATGGCTGCACAAATGAAAGGCATTCTGCGTAAAAAACACAGCTAACAGGGCTGCAACCAAGTACTAAACTCAGTAGCTCAGGCAGCAAAACCGTAGACTACCGTCCTTGTGTGGAAACTGCATTGGCAAAGCACTGTTGGAAGCAAAAATAACTTCGAAGCTTAACATTCTGCCAAACCTATCCTCCATTATGGGCTGAAAGTATGTTAGTTTGTCATACATGCTCACATGTTTGACAGAATAACCGTAAATGATCCTTTTCCACACCTTTGGGCGTATTGAGCATACAGGGCTGGACCAGTATTTTATAGACTAATAGGCACTCTGTGGATGATATGTCAACATCATGCCAGACGCCTTTCTTCCCAGGACTGAGTTTATTATCCAAAACACACAAATACTAATAGTAAGGGAAGTAATAAATAAAAATGAGTGCAGCATTAAATCGACTGGCTTACATCTCTTGGGAACTGTAAACTTATTATAGCGTTACTTGACCCTGTCCCCGGTCGGCTGTTAGCCAATGGGACAAATATGACGAGGAAATCTCTTTGAATTTAAAGGAGACCCCATGAAATGCTATTTTCCGGGTGGGTTTAAAATTTAGTCATCCCTTGTCACACTGAATGTTTGCACAGAGGCAGTTCTGTTAGCTAGACATATTGTAAGTGTGTGTATGTAGAGAGTCGGGAAACCAACTCTTACTTAAACAGGAAATTGTACCAACCAGAAGTGTCAGTTTTGTTTTAGTTCTCGAGGTAAAGAGGTAAACTCTTTCAGTCTCAAGGAATGCATCATATGTTCATAGGTTCCTGCCTAGAACCCCCAATGAATGTGAGATGTGCTGATTATATGTTTTTCTTTACCAACACTTGGGCCTCTGATGCTAAACCACCTAGAATTGAAAGACTTGACTACCAAGCCTGTTAACCCTTGCAGTTTCCCAGATACCACATAGTTTAATGTCTACTAAAATTGCCATAACTTTACAACTATTTAATACAAACTCATAATATTTTGTATTTTTGCACCAAACTGAATGGAGAACAAATTTCAAGAGTTAAAACTGCATAATCTTTTTTGAAATCATCATTATATGGCTGTACATTGGTGCAAAAAAGGCAACTGAAAAATATTTTTATCTGACAGCAAAATAGTCTTTAACAAATGCTATAGCTTCACAACTATTTAATGTAAAGTCATGTTTTGTATTTTTGCATTAAAATTGAACGAAGAACACTCTTCAAGAATGGCACATTGTGTAATCTTGTTGTACATCTTTATAATTTGGATGTAGATTTGTGCAAAAAAAAAGAAGTAACTGAAAAATTTACTTTTTCTGACCGCAGCATAGACTAACAAAAATGCCATAGCTTTACAACGCAAACTCATAATATTTGCATTTTTATACCAAATTGATTAGAATTGATTAGATTCAAGAATTTAAAAAAAAAAAAATGTGCATTATCCTATTTTACATCATCTTCTTATGGCGGTACATTGGTGCAATAAAGTCAACAAAAAAAACTGACGCTTATATAAGTTTTTTTTTTTAAAGAAATAATAATGGATGACATCTGTGCCTAATTTAGAAACAAAATTCTGCAAATTGTGTGGATTTTTGCCCTTTTGCATCAAAAACTTCTGTTACAGTTTGACTGGATTGTCAAACTCAAAGAGCCACAAAAATGAACTTTTCGCAAAATGTGCATCGTGGGAATGGCACCCTGGTAAACCCAGTGATTGCATTGTGAAATTATTTTCACTAAACTCTAAGCCACAGAGCAATAATATACACAATCTATACTAACAGACGCATCTCACAGTACACACCTGAAGCACATACATAAACCAGTTTACACAAACTAATGTAACATAACACACCTACCTCCGATTGCCAGACCATTGGTGTAAGCTATAGCTAAACATCTTCTTCCAGTTTTGACAATGTTTTTGATGGCAGTTTTTAAGAATTACCGAAGTCACAGTCATCAATCTGTTCCGAAATATCTTCACCTTCATTTTCTGATTTTAAAACAATCAAGACAGTATCTCACTGCATCATAAATATTCTGGAAACTGTTCTACCATGACGGCCCCCAACAGTCAGCCCCATTATGAAAACATGGACCTAATACGTAATCAGCTTTGGAGCTCGCCAAAAAAGTTGTGAGGAAAATTTACCTTATGCACTACCAAATTGTGTCCCTTAAATAAACATAAGAAATGTATGAACTAAAGGCTTCAACTACATTTATCGAACATTTCAGCGAGGGTCCAAAATTACGATCGCAGTGGATGAGATCATGGTAACCGGGCATAAACATAGGCGGATTGCATAACTTGCCATCATGGTAGTCAGTGGGTTAAGCAACAGACAGGTGATGATTCAAGAAATAAGGATTCTGCAATTGATCACACATGTGTTGAGAATGTATAGTTTTTGCATTAATAGGTTTTGAGTCATCGATTAACTAGATGCTTGCCTGCTGGCCCTCGGTCTTGGGTTCAAGTCTTCATGTCGGCAGATTTTTATTATTGATCTGTGGCTCTTATGTTGACCCAGTCTAAAATGGGTAAGAGGATGTTGACTGCGTCATCCATCAAGTGCTGGTTGGTTTAGAAAACTATGGGTTGGGCACCATATGCCTACACTTTTACAAAAAAAAAAGTGTTGGGAGATGGCATCTAACAACAACCAGCTTGTTGTGTTATTGCATTATTAGGAGAAATTAACACTTAGAAATAAACTATAAAACCCTTGCTGAAAACTGGTCAGTCTTGTTTATTCATAAATCGAGTCAACTTTATCTTGTGGCGCCATCCCATACAAAGCAGTCTCCAAAAGTGAAGAAGGAGACCACAAGGTAGGCCAAGAGCAAGATGGAAAGATAACATTAGAGAAACTCTACAACAGTAAGATGTGTCTGATCGAGCAAGAAGTAGAACTTATATCTCCATCGACACTTGAAATGGTAAAAGAGGAAGTGAAAAAAAGAGCAAGTCCTGTTTGTGTTTGGTTGATGCTTCAGTTGTATTTTTTTTTCCACTCCAGATTTTTTGTGGCTGTTATCCTGTACTTTGTATTTGGTGCAATGATCAATTTAGCCAGAGGTTATGTTGGATCCGATGTTGTTCCACATGGCAGGTTCTGGTCCATGCTGCCAATCTATATTTTTGTAAGTAATTAACTTATGAGAGATCGGCTGGCTGAATGGTTAGAATGCTGGGTTCATGAGGGGTACCCCATGTTTAATTCTATAAAAGGGATGCAAAATTTTTTTGTCTTGGCCGGAGCAAAAATAAAAACCTTTCCTGCACTTTTTTTGGTGACTGCACTAGCCATGCGTTCTTAAATCCTCAGTCTTGTGACCCCCTGTCGCACACTGCCCTAAAATTAATTTGTAAGGAGCATTTATTTGAAACCCATTCATGCTACAGCATGCGTAATTGCATGCATTAAACGTGATCATGTTATAGTCATGTGTTGAGTGCTGACCAGTGAAGAAAAGAGCTTTGTGCCTATCATCCATTTCTAATTTTCCTCTCTGTGTATTGTTTGGTCTACTTTTATTTCTTTGACTCTGGGTTCCTGGCAGAGCCATCCTAGCAGCATTGTGGGCCCCTGGGAAAACCAGCATGCTGGGGCCCCTTTGACAGCCACTGGGGAAATACTATATGGACCCAAGCTGAACATATAGGAAAAACTGAAACAAGAATGCATGAAGCTATAAATACAGTTAAGAAATGGACAGTCTCTTCAGGAGTCACAAAAAACCAGACCAAAACCGTCCAGACTCTAAACTCTCTTTCCACAAAGCTAGAACAAGCTGATCTGTTCCTAGAAGGCAACATCCTTGCAAAAGACACCCCCCATATTTGGGAGTAAAATTTCATAAAAGACTAACCTGGGGGTTCCCACATTGAAGACACCAAAAGGAACGCTACCCTGCGGCTCAGACTTATGAAGAAACTTACTAGAACAAGCTAGGGTACAGATGCTAACACATTATGACTTATGACAAGTATACACAGAATATGTATGACCAAAACAGGAGTATGGCATGGGAGCACACTCCACTGCAGCCAAATCAAATCTAAACAAACTGGACAAAATACAGAACACTGGTCTCAGAATCATCACTGGAGGTATGAGAAACACACCGATCAGTTAGCTAGAGACCACTTCTGGTCTCCAGAGCTTGAGCCATCAAAGGGAAGAAAGGTGCTTACCCTAACAGAACATTTTTAACAGCCAAAAGCAGTGACATCCTTTCTAAAGCCTCTTTAATGTGGAAAATGATCCAGGCATATAGCGTAGACCTACAGCCTTACTATACAGTCAAAACAACAATGCCTGTCATAGACCCTTGAATATATCTACACCTCTTACCCAAAACCTGAAAGGACACATGTATACACCGATGGATCTTTGGCGGGAGTAGTGAAAAATGGAGGAGCTGGTTCGGTCATCATGCTGTAGTATGGGACCACAGTGGAAACATCATGTGCCTTTGGGAAACTCAACAAACGTCAGAGCAGAGCAGCAGGCAGTTATTGATGCAGCCAAAGTGCTTGAGGAAAGATAAATTAAAAACAGCAAAATTGTCTTCCTGTGTGACTGCACATCAGACCTCCAGGTGACTTATAGGGATCCACAAGACAGCAGGCTAAACAGACTCTTAGAAAACAGTCGAGTTGTTCTCCAGTGGATGTCAACTTACTGTGACTGCGGCATACCAGGAAAGGAGTTAGCGGACAGTCTTGCCAAAAATGGAACAACTGGGAAACAGCACACTCATTCATTGTCATTACCAGAAATAAAAACACTTATCAAGTGAGAATACAAGGAATTGTGGAGAGAGCAAACCAAGAGTAAACATCCAAAATACCACATCAGCAGACTCAACAGAATGCAACATACAACAATTTTCCTTTTAAGAACAGGACACTGCAGGCTTGACTACCACATGCATATAATTAAGACTGTACAGTCCCCACATTGTGCATGTCAGACAGGACCACAAACACCTGAGCACATTCTGCACATTCTGCCAACCTGTCAACTATACCTACAGCTTTGAAAAGAAACCTGGCCTCAAAAGCAAAGTGTGCAGAGCAAGCTATGGGGAACCATGAATGACCTGCTGCTGACATACAAGTTCATAGAGGGAACCAACCTGATGGTCTGACCTGAGCATACAAAACGGAACACAGAGAAGAAGAAGATAAATGTCTGTATGTGAGAAGTAAAGAATATCTTTCTAATGTTATCATCAAAACAAATTGTTTTCTTATCTTTGGAAGTTGGAATAGACCCACTGCCTTCCCAACAAGCATGTGGTAAGAGTCGACTAATTGGGGGCTTCTTTCAAGTCCGAGTGCATCTGCCTGAGAGTTAAGGAACCAACAGTCTGCATACAAATAAGTCAGATCTGCCAAAAGGATTGCACCCGAGACTAAGGTTCTGGAATGAAGACTAAATTTTAGAGGTGGACTAACAGCCCGAACTTTCTGCCAGATTTTTACAGCCAGTAAATGTGAAGAAGAAGAAGGTTCACTTGTTTAACAGTTTGCACATGAGAGTTGAGGGTTACATTTCTGTCAGTGATCAGCACTAATGGTTATCCCTCAATTACACTTTCCACTGGAATGTTAGCAATGTAGAGTTGAAGCATGCTCTATGAATTTAAGTTGTATAGTTTGTATGTAGTTGTTATTAACATAGATTTTGTTTTGTTAATGCTTATTTGCTTGCAGTTTGCATAGCTCCATTTTATGACATTATTTAATTCTCATTGTAAAGGCAGTAGATTACAAGTTTGAGCTTTTGTATGGACTGTATAGTCATCTGAATAAATGCAGGATGGCAAGAGACATAAAGGAAGATCATTTGTGTAAATAGCAAATAACAGAGGGTCAAGAGTAGAGCCCTAGGGTACCACATTGATGTTCACTGAGTCTTTTACTACATTGATGTTCATTATTCTAGTGCTAAATTTATGTTCACTGTGTATAATGCTACTACATTTATGTTTATCTGTGTCTTGTATTACATTGATGATTCCTGTTTCTAATGGTGGCTTCTCTAATTTTGCTTCCAGGATGGTTTCCAGTTTGTGTTTTCCTGTGGAAGGTTGCCAGTGACATCAACATATGAGCAGATATAATGGTGCATTCTTTGTCATCAGTGGCAAAGACATTTTAAAATTAATATCCTTACCATATTCTATGTGCATGTATGCACAGACTACATATTTTTGAAACAAGTGCCTTGATGATAATTTATCGACCTGCTGGCTTTATTCAAGTATTTTACAAATGAAGTATTATTATAATAATTTTACAATACCTGGTTGCAGGACTTGCTAACTTTCATGGTTTTCTTGGTGAATTTCAAGTTTACAGAGTAATATAAAATGAGGTTTGATCTCATTGCACCAGGTTTGATCCTTCTTTTGCATTTGCCCTTAAAAGGGTGGTTGTTATGTTATGGTTTATAGCTAGGATGCGATATCTGCCTTTCGACCTAACACATCCTATTTCATCAAACCTCTGATTATGATTCGACCTTAGTACCTGTATCATTCATATTTTGCTTACATGCATCTTTATGTCTCAGTACAGGCGAATCTCTACATGTTTACCCTTCTGTAAATTACCATTCGGGATGTTCATAGGTCTCTACAATCCTCTATGTCCTAACTGTGTGCGACTTCAGACTAAGCACTGAGAAAACTGTTGTGATACCTGCCTCCCCCCCCCTTTCCACACCCCAGTATCTCAGTGTTTGTGAAAAAGAGCAGACAGAATGATTTGGATGGAGTGGGTTAATATAATAAAAGTGGAATGTTTATTAACTGGAACCTTGTGAAGACATACCGATGCTATGAGAATATATTTACAGACAGAGAGGAACTACACAAAGAGAACATTAATGGAGCTGTAAGAAATTGTTAGAAAGGACCAAACACATGGGAAAGAAGAGGATTAGAAATAATCATGAGTAATACTGGGAGGACATGGAGCTGCAGAAGATGACAAAAGATTGGACAGTGTGGCTAAGAATCTGTGTTCGGATCAGGAATAAGACCAAAAAAAAAACACTGAGCTGGGACAGTAGGAGTCCAAAGAAAAAAATACGCTCTATACTAATATTTTACTTTATTTGGGTTGTTTACTCAAAAATTGTTTGATGTATTTCTTTGTGATAATATTTAATGTACTTCTAATTCATTAACCGTTTGTTTACTTTTTGTTTGTTTCTGTGTTTTTTTTTTTCAAACAAAAGAATGATATTCATAAGGCCAGAATTTTTTTCTGCATTCCACTATGTTGTGCCACACATGCAATTATTGTTTACAAATTAAAATTTCACAAGCATTTAGTCTGAACAGTAGAGACATACATTTTTTGTTTAAAGTTTTCAGCATATTACAAGTAGTGCCACTTATATGTTATTAGTTTGGTTGTGTTATTTTCCTGATTATATTGTTATAAAAATGTGTTTACATTGTTAAAAAACAAAAAACAAGCTGTTTGTTATTTTTCAACCTCTGACAAAGTTTTTTGTGTGCATTGTAATCTAATGAATGTATTATTACTAAAATAAAAACCATTGTTTACATATTAATATATTTTTTCATTCATCTGATATGTTAAATGGAATAATGTTTACATTATACTAAATTGAATGTGTTATTATCTATCATCTTATTTGCTATAAAGAAAAATTGTTTAAATTCTTATTAATGTTATCTAATGTTATCCAGTTGGTTAGATGGAAAATTGTTTAAAGTAAACTGAATGAATTGTTATCTTTCATTTGACCTGCTGAAAGCATCATTGTTTAAATTAAAATAAACTGTTATCTGTTATCTTACTTGTTACACAAAGCATTACCTTAGAGTAAACTGCATTTGTTATTATCTATCATCTGACCTGTTTCAAAGAAACATTGTTTTAAATATTTACTTAACTCTTTGAGTCCCAAGGAACGCATCATACGTTCATACGTTCCTACCTAGAAGCCCAATGAACGCATGATACGCCGATTTTATGGCTCTCTTTACTACCCCTGGGCCTGTGATGCTAAACCCCCTGGGACTCAAAGAGTTAAGTTACCATGTTTAAAAAAAAAAAAAAGAATTGTTATAGTAAGCATCGTTTCTATTACACAAAACTATATTGTTACTTTACCAACTCAGCTGAGTCATAGATTCTCAGTCTCATCTGTGCTGCCTTCTGTGCTTCCAAAGATACCATTGAACTCTCTGTGTTCTTAATTAGCTAGATCCCTCTGATATTCATTAGTTATTCATCTCCACCTCAAACATTCATCAGTTGTTCAACCAAAATCTTGATGTTCATCATTTTGTTCAACCACTCCTCTGATGTTCATCAGTTGTTCAGTTACACCCCTGACCTTCATCAGTTATTTATCTACATGTCTAACATTCATCAGTTGTTCGACCAAAACCCTGATGTTCATCATTTTGTTCAACCACACCTCTGATGTTCATCAGTTGTTCAGTTACACCCCTGACCTTCATTAGTTATTCATCTACATGTCTAACATTCATCAGTTGTTCAACCAAAACCCTGATGTTCATCATTTTGTTCAACCACACCTCTGATGTTCATCAGTTGTTCAGAGTTACACCCCTGACCTTCATCAGTTATTTATCTACACCTCTAACATTCATCAGTTGTTCAGCCAAATCTCTGTTCATCAGCTGTTCAATTACACCCCTGATCTTCATCAGTTATTTATCTACACCTCTAATATTCATCAGTTGTTCAGCCAAATCTCTGTTCATCAGCTGTTCAGTTACACCCCTGATCTTCATCAGTTATTTATCTACACCTCTAACATTCATCAGTTGTTCAGCCAAATCTCTGTTCATCAGCTGTTCAGTTACACCCCTGATCTTCATCAGTTATTTATCTACACCTCTAACATTCATCAGTTGTTCAGCCAAATCTCTGTTCATCAGCTGTTCAGTTACACCCCTGATCTTCATCAGTTATTTATCTACACCTCTAACATTCATCAGTTGTTCAGCCAAATCTCTGTTCATCAGCTGTTCAGTTACACCCCTGATCTTCATCAGTTATTTATCTACACCTCTAACATTCATCAGTTGTTCAGCCAAATCTCTGTTCATCAGCTGTTCAGTTACACCCCTGACCTTCATCAGTTATTCAGCTACATCCCATGGTGTTCACTGGTTACCCTCTACATGACCAGACCGTTCTCATTTTACATTAAGGAAATGGGAAAGCATAATGGTGAACTAGATCTGATAAACTGTACAGTACTGAGTCACAAATCTGCCCTAAGTGTTAGAAAAGCAACTGAGGCAGCTTTAGGAAGCAAATGGAAATGCTAACTGATTAGAAAATTTCTTTTTCTTTGCATTCACCGGCTGTAAACTCTGGCAGAAAGTTCTTCAGATTAGAGAATTTCTTCTTCTCAGCATTCACTGGCTGTAAACTCTGGCGGAAAGTTCTGGAGATCAAAGAATTTGACATAGACAGTCAGATGTATGAGGGCATCTTATGGGGGGAGGAAAAAAGGTACAGATTGAAAACTTATTGGCAACTGGCAGGTTATCTGCTATGGCACTACCTTTGCATTTGCTCTCTTTGGGCATCTGCTGCAAAAACTTCTGCTGCAGAAAGGGTTACAGTCTCTCCCCACATATTCAAACTATTTTTTTTTTTGGTTGTTGAGGTTTTTGCCTCTATGCTCAGCATTTTTGGGTCTCTTGTTTTACAATTTTAGTGTCATTTCACAGTTGTCTCATTTGCACGTCCTATTTTAGTCTCATCGACACAAATTTTAATCTCACTTGCACATAATTTAGTTTAATTTGCACAATTTTTCCGTCTCATTTGCACACATGTTTTTGTGTGACTCATTTGCAAATATTTTTTTCTAATTTGTTAATTTTTTTGGGTAATGTGATTGTGGACAATTCATTTTATGAGCATTTCTTGTCCCTAGAGGAAAGAGAGGAAAGGCAAGTCAGACGTTTAACCAGATTGTGACCGATACTATCAGTATTGTAATTCTGCGCTGGCTACTGAAATTGAGGATAGAGCACACATGGGAATGCCCCGAGTGCTGTGATGTCAATTCTTGACTCAACTCAGCTCATTCTTGTCCCCGGTTAATAGCTTTTATAATAAAGCTGTCCGTCATCGATTAGGTGTGTATTCTTACAGATATCTGGAAATGTTGCTTCCACCAAGTCAGGTAAAATATACAACAACAGTACTGTTGATGAGGACTTGTAGTTATCACTGCATTGCTCGGGACCAAGGAATGGAGGCCAGGGCGCTGTTGAGTTGATGGCAACAGCAACAACGGTATTGAAACAACATTCTTGTTTAAACAGTATTATTTCAGTAACCCCGTTATCAGTCAGTATAATTAATTATTATCAGTACTCAGTACTTTTACAGTCATAAAACTATGACACTGCTAACTGAATAATGATTATACTAGTCTAAATCTCACATGTATTGGAAAATAAAACCTGGGAAAATGTGCCTGCTAAGTACTATTGCATTTGTTTAATTATAAAAAATTATCTCTAGTAATAAGTACTCTATCTATAGCAAAGACAATTATAAAATGGTTGGTTTGGAATTGTGAATACAATTACATAACTCTAACATGTGGGTTGAGTTTAGCTGCAGGCAGTTTGGCAGCAGACCTCTTTGCATTTATTTCACCAATGTTGTGAGTATCTGCTGCTCAGAGGGCAGTGGCAAACTACTAAACTGAAAATTTATTAGTAAAACTACACAGTTCGTTTGTGATTTCTTTTATAGGATCTCCAGCTAACAGCTATATATAGGATGACATATAAGTTAGTGGTCTGGACAAATAACATGATCAAAGAAACAGTATTCCACTTGTGTGAGTCATTCAGAGTTTTTAGTAGAATCCAGCTTGGTACAGAATATGTATAGCACAACAAGTGTTGTAGGATAAGATTGCCAGATAATAATTTTACTTAACTTTGGTCAGTGGATTTTGAATACTAACTCTGTCTAAAGCAAAGCTGTTTAACTAAATCCTTTCACGGGCCAACATTTTGAAAAGGGGATTGTCACGAGCCAGAGGCCCGAGCCCCATCGAAGAAAGATCATTAATACA